TCCTCCTAGCCGCCCTCATGTTCCTCATATGAACAATCCTGCTATTCCACATGTGGTGAAGTGAAGAAGTGGCACTCCAGATGAGCAGAACAGTGTTCATGTCAGCTGACAGTATAGTTTTACTTATTTTATTTCAGAATGTAACCAAACTGTATGGATGTGGCACTCTCTTTTTTTTTTTTTTTTTTTCCTTCCCTCTCTCTTTAATTTTTTTCTGAAACAAACATGCTGTAAAGTATGTGTTCTGTCATACAAATGTACTCTTGAAAATAAAGAGCAAGTTGAACATTCGGATTTGAGTGTATTTTATCTACAAACTTGTCAGTTCTGCTTCCAACATATTCCAGCTGTATGTCACAACTCTTCCAGAAAATGTTAGAGGATGGCAGTCTTTTGTGCAAAAATACTTCCACAAGGGTCACACTGAACTTCCACCTGTTCGTCATCAGTCATAGCTCCTCCAGCAGCCTCCTCTCTCCTCCAGATGCATTTTAGGAATTGAGAAATCCTTTGAGATGGCATGTTAAAATTAAATTCTGCTTCAAAGGCAGAAGGACCGAGGAGACGGGGAGGCTCGAAACAGAAATGAGCTGAGGCTGTAGAGTTAATATGCGTCAGTCTTTGTTTACCTGATGTGTTCCAAGAATAAATTTATTTCACTTAAAGATGGAATGCCTTGTGTTTTCTGCCTTCAGTTTGTCTGCACTGAGCAAGCAAGACTTCTTGGTCTCTGTTTCTAATCCTAACCCACAGTCGTCCTCAGATGTATTCACCTCCCTTCCATTGGAGAAAAGGCAAATTCACGATAGTCACTCAAATAACTAAAAAGTAATTATAAATAAAAAATTGCAAAATTATAATTTAGTGGAATAAGACATTGCTTTTGAATTGTGGTTGAAAAGAATAATTAAAAAAAAAAAAGTCAGAGTTACAGAAAACACTTGATTGCAGTGATTGGCTCAAAGCATTGTTCAACAAAATATTAGTTTACGAGTATTTATTATGACTTTTGTCAATTTCAGCGTGTTTCAGTGACAGCTATTTTTTTTCCTTCTTTAATGTGAGGGTATGAATACATTTGAGGATGACGGTAAAAGAAAAATTGTTTCAAGACAACTGATGCTTGATAGACTTTTTAATGTATTTTTAGAGCTATACAGTATTGCACTTTTTAAAAAGGGGGCAGCATTATTAAAATTTCCTCAAATACTCTGCATATAAAATCTCTCAAAGAATGAGATAATCAAAGATGCCTCTCTGGAGAGGATAAGCGTTTTTATTCAGCCTGGAAAAACCATTTACGTCCTGTTTCATCCACGGCCTCATTTGCAGCCGTTCATTAAACAGACGCACTTTGGTGAAGGTTTTCTGTACCACCCTCGCTAAGTGCCTGGGAATCTTGCATTAAGCATCATCGTCTTTGCTCACTAGATTCTTTAGTGGTAGCAATGAAAGAAGACTATAAAATGTTAGAGGAAGGCTGTCTTTGGAGGAAAAAAAAAATCTTCAAGTAGTATGAACTTGAATGAAACACCCATGAATTTACATCTGTGTGCTCTAAAACAAAGGTTCTCAACTGGTGGGTCGCGGACAGCTGGTCAAAATTAAATAATATATAATGTGCGTCTCAGGTTGGACCTATTTTTTATTTTGAAAAAACTTTTATTTTGACAGGCGTGGTAACCATAGTTTGACGTTCATTTTAAGTTTGTGTTGATGTTGGGACGCAAGATGGCAAAGCGCAAATATGACCCGGAATATTTAAAATGTGGATTTTCATACTAGGGCTGGACCCGAGTAGCCAACCATTCGTTCGCTGTGTTGGAATCGGGATATTAATTTTGATCTCCAAACATTCCTCCCACCTCACGCTTTTACAAACTTAAATCAGAAATCGCCACATTCCTCTCTGAGACTAACTCCCTGTATGCAGAACTGTTTGACAACGAAATGTGGCTGCACGAGAGCATCAGCTGGTGGAGCTGTCATGTGATCAGACGCTGAAAAAGAGATGTGGGGAGGTTAGCCTTTCCCACTTCTGGAGCAGCGATGTGATGGCTGAGTATCCGTCCCTCGCCACTCCTGCAGTTAAAACAATCTTACCATTCAGCTCAACCTGTTTGTGTGAAACTGGCTTCTCTACTTTGGTCCAGCTCAGGTCACAGCAGAGGAACAGGTTGGACACTGAGCATGATCTGAGAGCAGCTCTGTCAGCTGTCACCCCAGACTCTGAAACTCTAATCAGGAGTAGAGCACGTGCCCAACTGTCTCATTAACTTCAACAAATGGCCAAAACTTTATTTTTGAGTAATAATAATAATAATAATTGATCAGATTTATATAGCGCTTTTCTAGACACTCAAAGACTCTTTACCCTGCCAATTATTCATTCACACACATTCATTCTGGTGGTGGTAGCTACGATTGTAGCCACAGCTGCCCTGGGGCAGACTGACAGAGGCGTGGCTGCCATTCTGCCCCTCCGACCACCACCCCAAACAATCCATTCATACGCATTCACACCAGGCAAGGTGGGTGAAGTGTCTTGCCTAAGGACACAGCGACATGAAGCAGGTTACAGGAATCGAACCTTCCGATCATCGACCGACTCACTCTGCCACCTGAGCCACAGCCGCCCCAAGCCTAGAGTAGTTTTGATATTTATTTTATTCACTTTTGTACATGCAGTTGTCACGGTCCTCCTTAGTTTCTGATTAATTTGCTCAAAATGGAGCGAAAACATGTTGTTTTGTGCCCTTTTTTTTATTTTGTGCAGTTTTGTACATGCAGTTGTCATGGTCCAGTTACTATGCATGCTTATATGCTCTGAAATGCATGTTGCACAGGAAAATATATTGAATATTGAATATTGAATTCTAAAAAAAAATCGTGTTGCAACTTAATGACCATGGGAAAATGTGGGTCCCAGGGTGAGACCAGTTGAGAACCCCTGCTCTAAAACAGATTTTTTTTTTTTTTTCCGTCCAGTTGAGGACACAAAAAAGATGTCCTGACATGTTGCTAACCCAAATAGCTTAGTATTGTTCCAGTGCATCTGTGGATTATTCATATTCTTTTTGTTTTTAGGCGAGGGTTGCAGCAGGAGGGCTGAAAGTCGCAGCAGCCCGTCAGCATGCAGCCTGTGGAGCTGCAAGAGTCCTGGCTGCTCCTGCACTGCAGAGAACCTGTTTCTCCACCAGTAAGTACACAACCAGTCCCGCGGTCACATAGTCGGATTGTAACAAAAACAAAGAGGCTGTGCTAGAGATGTTTTTGCTGTGTCTTACCCAATAGACCGAATCATTGATTGCTTAATCAAGGAAGTAGTTTTATTACTTGATCTCAGCTATTTAGGCCACAGAATTTGACTTGATATGGTCGCATCATTACAATTCAATTACAAGTTTTCTGCAATTAACATGAATATTCCTCCTTTGTATAATTACATTACATTGCCCCAAGCTGTACGAAAATGATTCCACTTTGCACACGTAGAATCTGCTCTGACAAAAATATGAAATGTTATCATTACTTTAGATGTGTAAGTGTGGCGCGCCTGTAATTAAAACTACAAGAACCTTGATATTTCCAAGCTTTGTTTTTTTTTTTTTCTGCGTCATGCCAAACGTCTGTTTCATTCCACATGGGATTACAAGATACAAAACATGCATCCAGAAATACACTTACAAAGGCAAAAAAAAAACAAGAAAGAAATGTTACATATCTGGAGCTCATCCTGATAAATGAATGAATGGTGTTTGACTCTCTCTATCAGCCACGTCCAGATGGGCCCCTGCTGTCACTCAGCCTGCTCCTGCTTTCAAGGCCACAGCTGTCCACAATGGGGAGTTTAAGGAGATGAGTCTCGCTGACTTCAAGGGCAAATACCTGGTTCTTTTCTTCTACCCTCTGGATTTGTGAGTATTTATGAAGGGGACACACGTGAACAGATGAAGTCAGTCACATGTGAACATTCATTGACCTGCGATGTTAAAGTGGCTCTTCGGATCACCAGGAGAAATCTGATGAAAGTCACAAATGAAAGTAGTTCATCCTCAACAACCGCCTGCAGAAACACTGCGTTTTGTGATTTTGCTCACAGCGCCTTTTGTTTTTCTGTCTGCTTGTTGTGCTGCAGCACGTTCGTGTGCCCGACGGAGATCATCGCGTTCAGCGACAAGGCCAACGAGTTCCACGACGTCAACTGTGAGGTGGTGGGAGTGTCTGTGGACTCTCACTTCACCCACCTGGCGTGGATCAATACTCCAAGAAAGGTACGCCTCCTCATGTACACATCATTCAGTAGCAGACACACGGGGCAATGTTCAGCCGAGTCAGTCTTTCAAGTAGCGCTGAAAGACCGCTCTAGTTAATGATTGACCTGAACGTATTGTTATTCCGTTCACAGCTAAAATGATCTGACAAGCAGTAATTAGTAGAAGCCTCCTTGCAGCAGCATGAACTGGTTGCGTCAGTGTGTGTGACTGCTCTTGTTTCGTGGTGTTTTGTCAGACTGGAGGCCTGGGCCACATCCACATCCCACTACTGTCAGACCTCAACAAGCAGATCTCCAGAGACTACGGGGTGCTGCTGGAGGGTCCAGGCATCGCACTCAGGTGGGTGACCTATTTTTTTTTATCTCCTTGACCTCTCCACAAAGTGCTTTTATGTGCTAGAAACAATGGCATAAGTCGGCTTAGCATTTTTACCTTGAAGCAGCAGCGTGCCAATGACAGTCAGGGTTTCACAGAGCCGGTCCTGTCAGCCTGCACGGTGGAGCTTTCGGTATCATTATTGTTCTTCAAAGCGGTTTCCAGTTCAGACATGTTTGGCAGAGTTACTCCAATATTACAACTTGCCATTGTGCAGCTGGAGTAGTGTTACAGTGTTGGAGCAGAGCTGCAGGTGAGCTGATGTGCTCGAGCTGCCATAAATGGGGAGGCAGGGTTGGAGATGGATATTAAAATCTGCGCATACTAAAGGAGGCAAAGCTGTAGAGTTATATCGAATTTCATGTTGAGGAGTATTTTGGTGGGAAAAACCACATTAATTTAATGGTTTAATTAACAACGGGAGAGAATTTTAATTATTAAAACACAAATTACAATCACAAACAATTTCCAGGAGCATCTTTGTCTTGAATACAGTAATAATTAGTTTTTTATTTTCACAGTGACACAGCATTAATGTAGCTAAATGGGATTTGTTTAGTAAATAAAATCCAGTAGAAAAGAGTGCAGCTCTGATAAGAACCCTCAGAGAATCACTCAAACACTGCGGCTGTTAAGCATCAGGTTGCTGACGTGACTTTTATCTGCCACTACTTTTTATATCGAGCATTTGATTTTTTTGGTTATTTTTCTTAAACCAGTTGACAATTAGATTTTTTTTAGTAGGCCCATCCACAGTGCTTTGTTTGGGTTTGCCAACTCACTCTTCACATCCTCCTCCCGTATGCTCAGAGCAAAAAGGCAAATGTGTCTGCCATCTGCTACATGTGACTTTAACAGACGACGCATTTGGTGAACTTTCACAATGTCAGTTTTAATTTTCATACATTCACAACTCTGACATTATGCTCAGAAGTTATTCATTAATGCCCAAATGGAAGTCCAATCAAACACTGGCTTCATCATCTGAACTCAGTGAACCACGCTGTACGCACGTCTACCGTGTACGAGTAGGAATGGTCTGTTTTAGAAAGATTTGACCCGATTACATCACAACGCTCAGAATTCAGCCTCAGGTTTACTTTTGTTTTTTTAAGATCCTTATTGACAACATTCATTGGAGACACACCTGTGGAGGTATTTTATGGTACACCGCAAACATGCGACTTCCTTTTGTCACAACGTGAGAAAACCTGAAGAAATCAGCCAGATATGAGGAAGAGAACTGTGGGCTTCCACAAGTCTGGCTCATCCTTGAGTACAATTTCCAGATGCCTGAAGGTTCCACGTCCTGTTCAGTTATACACAAGTACACTCACCGGCCACTTTACTAGGTACACCTTGCTAGTACCGGGTTGGACCCCCTTTTGCCTTCAGAACTGCCTTAATCCTTCGTGGCATAGATTCAACAAGGTACTGGAAACATTTCTCAGAGATTTTGCTCCATATTGACGTGATAGCAACACGCAGTTGCTGCAGATTTGTCGGCTGCACATCCATGATGCAAATCTCCCGTTCCACCACATCCCAAAGGTTCTCTGCTGGATTGAGATCTGGTGACTGTGGAGGCTGTTGGAGTGCAGTGAACTCATTGTCATGTTCAAGAAACCAGTCTGAGATGATTTGTGCTTTATGACATGGCGCGTTATCCTGCTGGAAGTAGCATCAGAAGATGGATACACTGTGGTCATAAAGGGATGGACATGGTCAGCAACAACACTCAGGCAGGCTGTGGCGTCGACACGATGCTCAGTTGGTACTAAGGGGCCCAGAGTGTGCCAAGAAATCATCCCCCACACCATTACACCACCACCAGCAGCCTGAACCGTTGATACAAGGCAGCATGGATCCATGCTTTCATATTGTTGATGCCAAATTCTGGCCCTACCATCCGAATGTCGCAGCGGAAATCGAGGCTCATCAGACCAGGCAATGTTTTTCCAATCTTCTATTGTCCAGTTTTGGTGAGCCTGTGCGAATTGTAGCCTCAGTTTCCTGTTCTTAGCTGACAGGAGAGGCACCCGGTGTGCTCTTCTACTGCTGTAGCCCATCTGGTTGGACGTGTTGTACGTTCAGAGATGCTATTCTGCATACCTCGGCTGTAACGAGTGGTTATTTGAGTTACTGGTGCCTTTCTGTCACCTTTAACCAGTCTGGCCATTCTCCTCTGACCTCTGGCATCAACAAGGCATTTGCGCCCACAGAACTGCCACTCACTGGATATTTTCTCTTTTTCGCACCATTCTCTGTAAACCCTAGAGATGGTTGTGCGTGAAAATCCCAGTAGATCAACAGTTTGTGAAATACTCAGACCAGCCCGTGAGGCACCAACAACCACGTTCAAAGTCCCTTAAATCACCTTTCTTCCTCATTCTGATGCTCAGTTTGCACTGCAGCAGATCGTCTTGATGCCTGAATGCATTGAGCATGTGATTGAGTGACTACAAATTTGTGTTAACGAGCAGTTGGACAGGTGTACCTAATAAAGTGGCCGGTGAGTATATAAACACCATGGGAATGTCCAGCCACCGTAGCGCTCAGGAAGGAGACGGTGCTGTGTCCCAGAGATGAAGTGTTTTGGTGAGACACGTGCCTATCAACCCCAGAACAAAGCAAAAGACCTTGTAAAAATGCTGCTGAAGCTTATACGAGGTTGACTGACAGCATTTGAGTTTATTGGAGGCATACCTGTGGTGGTGTTTTAAGGCACACCTCCAACACAAAGACAATTGTTGGCCGGATTTTGATTTTGACAACAATTGCTCTCTTTGAGTGTGCTTGAGGTGTGTCCTAAAATACCTCCACAGGTGTGCTTCCAATAAACTTAAATGCTGCCAAATAACCTATTAAAAGCTTCCAAAGTCACAACATCATCATCTGGGCTTCCCAAATAGCTTGAAGGCACAGTACACACAGTACTTAGTGTACATAAAAATAACTTCAAATAAAAGTAATAATAATAATTCAGATATCCTGAATAATAGTGTTCTTTCTTTGGTGTTTCCTTATTGTTCAGGAGAGCTACTGCGATTCTGTATTAGTTGTCAATTATTAAATAATTTCGTCAACTACTGTGATAATGGATTAAATGGTTTTAAAAAATGTACATTCTACATTTTCTGATTCCAGCTTCTTAAATTGGAATATTTCCTGTATTCTGTCCTCGCTGACGATAAACTGAACATCTTTGGTTGGTGGACAAAACACAGCTACTGAAGACATTATCTCGGGGTCTGAGAAACACTGGTTGACATTTTAAACATTTTCTGACATTTATTACGCTGAACAGCAAATCGGTCAGTTGAGAAAATAATCGACTTATTAATCATCTGCTGCAACCTCGTCTCATTACTGTTGTTGACGAAGATGCCGATGATGATGATAATGTACGTTTTCTGTCATTAGAGGCCTGTTCATCATTGATCCAAACGGCATCGTGAAGCACCTGAGCGTGAACGACCTGCCGGTGGGCCGTTGCGTAGAAGAAACCCTCCGTCTGGTGAAGGCTTTCCAGTTTGTGGAGACTCATGGAGAGGTGTGTCCGGCCAGCTGGACCCCCAAGTCCCCAACGGTGAGTATCCCTGGACACTGTGCACATTTCAGTCCACTCAGCACTAAAATGTAATATTTCTTCGAGCTCCTGAGGCGTGTGTTTCCCACTGTCACTTTAATTTCACGATTTATTTTTTTTTAACCCAGAGAATGTGTGTTTCTGAAAAGCAGTCTGGAGAAACTGTTGCTTCAAAGACCTACATGTGTAGCTGGGAAACATGGGATTTATTTCTGAACAGGGTCCATTCCTCACCTACAGTTGAAACCAGAAGTTTACATACACTGTAAAAAAAAAAAAAAAGACTCATAACCTTTTTTTGTCTCACTGTCTGACATTAAATCCGACTAAACTTTTCCTGTTTTAGGTCAGTAAGGATTACCAAAATGATTTCTAATTTGCTTTGGTGAGAAACGTGCGTATCAACCCCAGAACAAAAGCAGAAGACCTTGTGAAGATGCTGCTTAAGCTTTTACCAGGTTACTGGGATAGATAAAATATTTTTCTGTTCTGCTCTATTTGAATTTACTGGAGGCACACCTGTGGAGGTATTTTAAGGCACACCTCAAACACATTCAAAGTGAACTGTTGACCTGATTTTGACAACGGGTCAACAATTCTCTTTGAGCGTGTTTGAGGTGAGATGTGCTTTAAAATACCTCCACAGGTGTGTCTCCAATAAACTCAGCTGCTGTCAAATAACCAATTAAAAGCTTCCAAAGCCATGACAGCATGATCTGGACTTTTCCCAAATAGTCCAAAGGCACAGTAGTGTTAGTGTATGTGTACTTCTGACTTTGAAGAAAGTAATTTAAAAAAATTCTCTCTCATCATTCTGGCATTTAGCAAATAGAAATAATTTTGGTAATCCTAACTGACTTAAAACAAGAAAAGTTTAGTCTGATTTCATGTTGGACAGTGAGAAAAAAAAAGTTGTCTTTTTATGGTGTCTGTAAACTTCTGGTTTCAGCTGTATATGTGCACAACATGGACTTCTACACTGTGAAGATGTTCATTGTATTAAAGAAAAATTCGCAACATTTGTCGTGATGTGAACCCCACATCAGGTGAATCAGGTGGTTTTGTTAGGTACAGAAACCAAACGGACTCTAATCCAGTCTTTGGACCTGCTCCTGGAGGGACGTATTTAATACTCAAAGGTGTTTGAGATCCCTTTCAATCGATCTCAGCTGACAGAAATATCTGGAGCTGAAGAAGCTAACTGTCCAAAGTATAAATGAAATGCTGCTGCCTTTGGCTCTGTTTGCTACATGACCAATTCTTCTTACGTGGAAAGATGAAACACAGCAAACCTGTAATGACTGGATCGGAGGTCTAATGCAGTTTGAAAGAGAAAGTTTGATCCACTCTGATGGGATCTACTGATAACTTCTATCAGACCTGGCAGCCGCTCATGTCAGGAGCTGGAGAGAACATCTGGAGGATGATGGTCTGAAATTGAGTGCTGCTGAAATGTGCAGCAAGTTTGATATTGATATATGTGTTCCAGGTGGACACGGTGTAAGGTGCTCTGTGTGACCAGATTCATATTTGACTTCATTTTATTCACGTTTCCCACCTCATTTTTCCTTTTTTAGGGCCCGAGCACTACAGTGCGTAGGACCCTCTTGAAACTGAAACGATTATTATTTATTCTTCATGGCCATAAACAGTTGCATTTTTGAGGGCCTAAACATGCTCAAGTCCACATGAAAATTTGCACGCACATCAGAACTCGTGAAAAATTTGGTATTTTAAGGGAGTTAGACATGTCAATGCCAAAATGGCTCCACAGCGCCACCTTGAAAATTTCAACTGAGTCCCATCGGAAGCATGTTTGACCCAGACCTACGCAATTTGGTAGGTATATGGAGGAGGTTAGGACGAACAAAAAAGTCAGTGACAGCCATACTCTAAACCCAACAGGAAGTCCGCCATTTTGATTTGTTCGTTTGTCCAACCTGAGCTAACTCCTCCTAGGGGGTAAGTCACAGAGCGCTGAAATTTGGGTAGCATGTAGAATACGCCTTGAAGGTAAAACCTTGTCAAAATCATCTGCAAAGGTCAAAGGGCGTGGCCATGGTGGCCCTCTGATGTTTGATCCTTCGCCACAAAAGAGGAGGTACCATCTAACTACCCTGTACCTGCTCCATTCTGCCTCAAACTTTACATGTTTGATCAGACTGTTGTCCTGATCACATCCATATGTCCAAATCCATTCACAGTCATAGCGCCTCCTATTGGTAACAGGCTGTTTGAGGCATTATACTTCCATGTGCCATTGCTTCAAACTTTGTGATATCATTCTTAAAACTGGTCAGCTAAGTCTTCCCATGTTGACGATGCTACAGTGCAGTGAGGGCGTGGCCGTGGCGGCCCTCTGAATTGTGATGATTCGCCATCAAAAAGGAAGTGTGTCTAACGACCCTGTACATGCTCCAATCTGCCTCAAACAATTGATCACAGTCCTGCCCTGATGAAACCCATATGCCAATATCCATTTACAGTCATAGTGCCACCTGCTGGCAGTAGGAAAGAATGTGTTTTACACTTTCATGTGCTAATATTAGCCTGTCGACCGTATTGACCTCAGATGCGGTGACCTGAGCCTTTAGATCAGGGGTGTCGAACTCCGGTCCTCGAGGGCCCCAATCCTGCAAGTTTTAGATGTTCCCCTCTTCCAACACACCTGATTCAAATGATCAGGATCATTATCAGGCTTCTGCAGAGCTTGATGATGAGCTGATCATTTGAATCAGGTGTGTTGGAAGAGGGAAACCTCTAGAACATGCAGGATTGCGGCCCTCGAGGACCGGAGTTTGACACCCCTGCTTTAGATGTTGATGATGGCTCATACCAAAAATGGTGAGTTTACGTGAAACGCCGTGTCCGTGGCGGCCCTCTGAACTTTGATGCTTTGCCATGAAAGGGCGAGTGCTGCACTCTGCCTCAGTCACAACCCTCTGATTGTCATCATGCTTCTGTACACACAACGAAACTGCAGTCAGAAGTCCCAACTTTATAAAGGCTGAGTGAGGTAGTGGGTCACCTGTGTAGTTAGTGTGTGTCAGCGTCAGATCGGAGTCCTGCCCTGATGACATTCTCATGCTGTTATCCATTCACAGTCACAGCGCCACCTTCTGGAGATATGATACGACACGTTCTACAATTATATTTGCCATTATTAGCCGGGTGACAGTATTAACTTCATACGTGGTTACGTTAGGTGATTGTCACCTTGCTCAGAGCGCATTTCTGCCACAACCCCTGACGTGCGAGGGCCCGACCAACGCTGCTCGAAGCTTTAATTTATTTAGCTGTTTATATTCATTCACCTGTTTTCTTAGTTTTGTCTTTTTTTTCTTAGATAAAAACCTATCTGAAAAGGAAAAGAGTTTGTGTGAGACGGGCACGTTGGACACTTATTAAGGTTATCTTGTGTCACTGTTTGTTTTTCAGATCAAACCAACCCCAGAGGGATCGAAGGAGTACTTTGAAAAAGTCAACTGAAGAGTTCATCAGCTGAAACAGCAAATGATTCAAACCTAAAACACATAGCTCTGTTAGTTTGTCATTTATAAGATGTATTTACTCAGACACAGCTGGTTATACCAATAAATCTATTCTTGTTAAACGACAGCTCTTTGCCTGGATTTTTTCGGTGCACTGGTCTTCATGTTATGGGATGAAATAAAAACAGCTTCTCGTTACTTTTTTTCACAGCAGCTACTTTCCTGAATACCTCAATTAACTAAATGAACTGGGCTGCCCCTCGACACACGCTGGACTACTGTGTGGTCCTGTGACTCCAATATTACAGTCCTGTAGTAATTACGGTACATTATCATTACCATCAAAGTCCAAACCACACTGAATAACCCCTGTACATAAACATGTTTATTTTCTCTTTTTACAGCAAGTTAATATGCAGGTTCAAAATGTCTAATCAGACATTGGTACACAACATGAGGTGCCAAAATCAACTTCAGTGGGGGAGAACTGGAAATTAGAAAAAAAAAAAAAGGCATTGCCACTTCTCATACAAGTAGGGTACATACTGTATTTACACAAAATGGAAAAAAGCGTTTGAAACACTCCGCAGCACTGTGTGTGGTTATGAAAACATCTACTTTTAAGTGTACATAAACTTCACTTTGTACAGTATGTTTGCAGAAACAAAGCAACTGCCTCATTCCTTCTGACATTCACAAATGATGTTTCAGGTTAGGCAACAGAAAGAACATGAGGGAAATGGCTTACCAGAAGATGTAGAGCCTTTTAAAGCTTTTAAATAAAATATGAAATCAAAAATAAAAATGTGTCCATAAGCAGGTCTGCAAGTCGTCAAAATGTACCGTTTTACATTTTGGGACCGAGAAGATGCTCACAAGGAGAAAATAAAAACTGACAGCGCTGACTGAAGTGGAATTTGATGGTCAGATGGTTTGGTGAAAACTTCATGCAATATCAGGCAAGATGTAACAGCGCCACCAGCCCCACCCCAAGCACCAAACAAACAGGAAAAAAAACCCAAAATATATCTTTTTTTTTTGTTTTGAACTGAAGGATTCGTTTAAAAAAAAAAAAAAAAAGAAACACCCTGTAGTAAATCTGTACAACGAAAATACATTTGGGATCTACATCTAAAGGTACATTATTAAGGTTATATACACTCCCCCCCATCCATATATTATCTTTACAAGTAGACTTCATTCAAACCCAAACATTAAGAAAACATAAGACTTAACGGGGAAATGGGATCACATCAAACATCCATTTAAAAATCGAGTTCTTACTGTACCTCAACTGTTGATCAGTCCCTCTGCTCTTGTCTGTACAGTAAACTACAGCAGGACTAAAATCTCATGTCGACTGGATGGATTGCTACGGTAACGGGGAATTAAGAATCGTCAAAATGGGGGAATGATTATCGAGTAGCGACAGTTTTTAGATCAATTTTTGCAGTGGAAGTAAGTGGGAACAAAGTACTGTAAGGTGTAGTAACGATATCTCGACTGCAAGAATACAAAATAGAAATCAAGTCAGAACACGGACACGAACCCAACTCTCCAATATTCTGACACAACAGAACAAAGGCTTTCAATACACTTAGGCCTCTTCACTGAAGAGAGCTACACTATTCCATCAAAAAACATTTATGTTCTCTGGTCTCAGGTGGGACTGGGTTGGAAACGAGAAGCCATGTCAGCCTTTAACATTCGCCCAAACGTTTGTTTGAAAGCAACTGATAAAAACAGAACCTTGTGTTTTATGTCTCCTCCGCAGATTTCCTCCTTGTTCATTTTGAGTTGCGGCGTTGAATTTCATTCAGAAAATGGAAAAAACTACATTGTACAAAGTGAGATTCTCACAATCTCTTTGCAAGAAAGAAAAGTAATAAAGAATGACTTGTGCCCGCCGTCTTTCAGGATACGCGTAGGCAAATCCGTTTACATCCCTGTGTTGCTGCTTCGCTTCTTAGTCAATTTTCACATTTGTGTAGATCTTCCTCACAAAGGCACTTGTTCCCATGTATCCGACGGCACCTGCAAAGCAAATGTGAGTTTCTTTTAGGTTGACAGCTCCACACTCTGCTCTTACTTTGCAGGTAAATCCATCAGAGGACAGAGTGATTACTGGCGAGGGTATCCAATAAAGGTTTAAGCAGGGAAAAGCTCATCTACAAAATGAGCAGTCAGACACCCAGGAAAACCCAGGAGGCACCGCGTTAGTACCTGGTACAGATCAGAGAAAGCTCTACAAAGGTGCTCTGAGGTACATGGGTGTCAGCCTTGGCTTATTACTCTTTCAGCTGAAAAATGAGTTTGGCTTGCAGCTGGTGGGGAAAAGGAGACTACTTAACTGCACTTAAAGCTGAACAACTGATGGAGAGAAAAGACGTTTTTCTAAAAAGGTAATGGGCTTCATGCAAGAACTACCTGTATGTACAGATTCCTTCTTAAGTGGCACATATGACTGAACTTGTGCCGTTCACACATTTTTGCATATTGAGTGGGCCTGAGTCATATGCAGTCTGCTTTACTCCACAGGGGAACAACACTTAAGAAGTCTGGCACCTTGATCTGAATGAATTTAGAGTTTATCATCACGGTTTTATACAGAGAAGTCTGAACATTCAGGATTTTACTGGAATATTTGGACTGAGAGCAGCTGTCTCCTGCACATACACAGTGTCCAGAGACGGGCCTCATTATGCATCCGACAGCATAACATCATCTGCAGTGTAAAACCCCTTTCAGACATGAACTCCTTTCCATTAATCTGACAGCGTCTGAATGTGTCGGTTTCATGTCTGAATGAGCACCCTGGTTACCTTTCTGGAAAAGTCGTGACAAAAAAAAAAAACGTACTACGTCGGCTCCAGTAACATTTAAATATCACTTTGAAATTGGAACTGCGTGCAGCTGTATTAACAGACAGGCACATTAAAAGTTGCCCAGGTGAGTTGTATTGTCTGTGAGGGAGCGTTATTTCCACCATTAAAATTACAGAATGGTCGTCAAATTCTACATTTGTTTGTGAACGCTGATTTCGAGCTACTTTGTTATTTGCAGCTCCCTCAACCTTAATGTCCAGTCTTGTACATCTGGCAAATATCATCGCTGTCATGGCTACGTTTAAATGAAAAGTCAATAATCACTGTAACAGACTGACAACACCGGCAGTGTTATGCGTCCCACGTGTTCAAGGGATTCGTATTTTTCCATCCAACTCTATGACTTTCACGTCCCCTTGACCCCCTCCTGTCTGGATCATACACTGCTCTGATTCAAGCCATTTTTAAGCATCTAACTTAATGTCAAACCCTTCCTCATTTATTCCTGTCACAGCACCAGGCTGCTCTAAAGATATATTGTCGTTAGCTGCATTAATATTTGCCCCATGGCTTCTCAACTCCTCTACATTTGTGAAGTTTCCGTCTCCTGATTTTTGACTGCCAGAAAAATAATCCCTCTTACTCTTGGGTGACTTTTTTTTTTTAAATTAAACTTGCCATTAAACTGAACTAAAGCAGGTTAAAATGAGACATTTAGGGTGTATTTATGTAGATAAGAGAGTAGAAGCAAACCTTACAGACAGCACTACGGGGTTGAGGAGACAGTTGTAAAAATGTTCTTACATGAGGCTCATTCTTTTGAAAACTGCACAAAAACTTTGAAGAACTGCTACCTCTGTCCAGTTAGCAGCTTACCAAATACATTTGTTTTACATATTCTAAGTAGGACCCGACTGATTTATCAGCTGGCCAATTAAATAGGCTGGTTATAGCCCTTTTCAAAATAATCATCATTGGCTGGAGTTTTGCCGATTAAACGCTGATATATTCTTAATTTCTCATAAAACAGTAAATGCTGTTAAGTGTCACAGTTGTGCAGAATGCTGTCCTTGTGCCGTTTGTCCACTAGATGGAGCTCTGACTCATAAGTGATGAGCTTGCTGACACATAAGTTCATTAACAATGACTCAACATGTCTCCTGTTTCACTTTAATTCTCTTTGCCATGTGTCATGACGACTGACGTGTGATTCGTTGTGTCGGTCATGCTTTTCATTTACGTTGCTAAAGCTGTGCTAACCTAGCTTAAGTTACTCCCTGTCTGTTTATGTTAGCAACAACATCGCTGTAGTTATGCCAACCTAGCATAGCATTCGCTAACAGCCAGTAAGTAACTGCAGAAATAACGTAAGTGTACAAAATATTAGAGAGTACAGAACGAGCGTCCATCACTCCGTCAGCTGCGTGCTGAGGCGCATTAAGGAGGAGCGATGTGAGTGCAGAGGGGAGGAGGTTTGTTCAGTGCAGGCAGAAAAGTTCAGATGATGAACATCACTGTCTGTCTTCAGCAACCGTCGTGATGTCGTGTCACTCTTCGTTTGACTTTGTCAGAAAACACTCTGACGTGACACAGGCTGTAACAGCAGCTCACTGTGTGCGTTATGGAGCAACATTAGTGTCGGACTATTTGTGACCACTATAGATTTAAAATGCAACTCTGTCAAAGATGACATGTTTTGACATCTGAGAAAGGCGTCTCTGGTTTTTATTTTGGTTCATATGAGTCATGACTTCATGGCAAAGAAAATAATGGAGTAGAGAAAATGTGATTTAACGTTAAAGGTCATCAGAGGGCTGCATACATAATGTTCCAGTAACTTCACTCATTATGCTGCTTATTATTATATTATGTTTAATGCTTTGTTGCATGTTTTTGTACTTGACAATTCCTCTCTGTAAAGTTAAACAAATACTAAAGGACAAAGTATTGTAAAACAGTAAAATGTTCTGCCTATGATTCATGTCTTTGTTGTTGTAAACATTGAGGGACCAAAAAAGAAGCTATTTGATTCATTATATATTTTTAAATTAATCGGCCCATTAATCCACATCCACACTAATTTTAAGCACTAAAAACTAAACCTGTTGTTCATGAAAGTTGAACGTTGGTCAATAGTTTCTTTAGTGCAAACTGGAAGGCCAGCATTGTTTGTGCTCCGTTACTAAATCAACCAGCACTCACCACACATGATTCCTAGGGCAGTGCTGAACACAGCCATGTAGCCAAAGTAGAAGGATGTCTGGAACAGCCCGTACATCCTGAAATACAAAAGAACCACATG